AAGTGTTTTTCGTTTTGATGAAGTCCAGGGGGGTGGTTTTTTGCTTGGCCGTGAGACCGTGGAGGTCCTGGTCAGGCTGGGAACCGGGACACCTGCCCCTTGGTGCTGACGTGGACCCTGGACACTCCTTCTATCTCCCTCGCCAGCCCCTCCTCCATGCCTCTGAGGCTCTGGGTGGGCTGCTGCCCAGCTGCCCAGGACACCTGTGCACTGCCCTCTGGGTCTAAGGGGAGGACGAGGGCGCGCTGTAGCATTCCTCCATCACTCAGCTGTATGTCTAGTGACCCCTGTGAACTAACAACCCCTCCCGTTGGGGCGGCCAGGTTGTCATCACCCAGAGGAGTCTGAGGGCTCCCTGGGGTCACTGGAGAGCAGGAGGGGCGGGCAGTGGGTGGCAATGTCGGAGGTCCCTGGCAGGGGTGAGCAGAGCAGTCAGGGGAACCCAGGGCCCCTCCTGTCGGTGATGGGGACAGAGAGCAGCCATCTTAGCTAAGTCCGGGTACCTGTCCTGTCCGAGCGGGGCACCCCAGTGCTTGTTGCTAGAAAGGAAGGCTGCAGCAGTCTTGACACCTGGGCATGCACGTGCCGATCACCTCACCGAGAAGTCCAAGTAGGAACTCAAAACGCAGGTGTCAAGCGCACGTTTACCTTCCATCGGCGCCCACCCTAGCGGCCCGCGCCTCCTGGTGTCCCGCCCACCCAGGAATCCCCGCCCACCCGGGCGCGCAATCCGCGCTTCCGCCCCAGGTTGGTAGAATTTAGTTCCGCCGCGCGGAACCGGCGTCTGCGCAGTGCGTCGGATTGGTGGGCATGCGCGGTACGTGGGGGTTACGGGCTGGGCCGGGCCTGGCTGTCGGGTGATTAGGTGCTGGGGGGCTTGTTGGACGTTCCTGTTCTGGATAGACCCGACAGCCCGCGACGCGGAGGTCGGTGCCCTGGATGCCGGTGCTCCGGAAGCCGGAGGGAGTTCGGGGCCTGAGGACCCCTGCTATCTGGTGGGGTTGGATTGTCGAGCTGGGGGGAGGGGGCCACGGTCGCCTGCGCCCCAATTCCCGGCAAGTTATTCGGCCGCTCCCCGTCTTTGTTCGACCACACGGGTCATGGTTGGAGCGCAGGTGGCTCGGGTGACCAGCCATGGCTGTCTGGCCCTCCCTGTGGACAGCTGCCCCTCGGATATTTGATGTGGACATTTACCCAGTTTTTCATTAATTCTGATGTTGCTGTTTCCACGTTCGGTCCCACCTGCTTGGAAGGGCATCTGTGGAGGAGCCACCAGGGACAGACGGGTTGTGGGGCTGGGGGCCTCTGGGCATGACCAGATCAGTTCAGTAGAACAGAGGACATGGTCAGCCCTTCTTAAGTGTCAGGGTCCATGTCTGCAGTCCAGAACAGGTCAGCCTCAGCTTCCCCACTACTGGGCTGTGACCCCCTCTCTGAGACCCCACTTTGTCAGTTATGAAGCCCAAACAGGCTCCTTGGCCCAGGAGATGAATGTAATCACTCTGGTCCTTCCCAGGAGGCCTCTTCCTTCTGTCCATCCGGGTGTGCGTGGGGTCAGCATGAGGACAACTGGCTGCCAGGGGCTGAGCCCTTTGTAAGGCCTGTTCCCTACTGCCTCAAAATATTGTTAAGTGCAGTTGAGTCAGTTCCAACTCATAGCAACCCCATGTACACCAGTCCTGCGCCAACCTCACCATCTTCTTTATGTTTGAGCCCATGGTTGCAGCTACTCTATTATTCCATCTCCTTGGGATTCCCATTTACCCCATCACGGATAAATATTTTGCTGCAAAAACCCACAGGCCATTTACAGTTTTGTTTTGAAGTGCTAGGGCATTTACATTTACAGTTTTGTTTTTGAAATGAAATGAACCGGTGATGTGATTCCTGTGATTCCTTTGAATTTGTTGTGTATGCAGGAATGTATGCAAATTGAAGAACAAACCTAACCCCTAAATCAATTCCAAACATGATGGTGTTTTGAAGGCTCTGTTTAGCATGAGTGAAGATGATGTAATGATACTAACTGTGGACGTTTACCCAGGTTTTCATTCATTTTGATGTTGCTGTTTCCATGTTGGGAGTCAATAACACGACGCATCTTGTTCTGTTTATTTCCATAGCTCCAACAGTTTGGCAGGATCATCGGGCAAAAGAACCCGTGCCCAGGCACCCCTACTGGGCTGGTAGGAAGCCTGTATCAGGCCCTGTGGAATGAGTTTCCTTTTGGTGTTTTTACTTTGCTCCTGCGAGTCAAGACTTGCCTTTTTCTCAGGGGCCAAGCCCATCAGCCCCAGAGCAAGGTTTTCCAGAGATGTGAGGTGCTCCCACACTGGCCAGGGCCACAGCGGGGCCTTCAGAGGAGAAGCATTCTGGAAGCTTCTCTCACAGAAGCACTGGCCTGGGTTGAGGGCCACTCCTTCCCACCCCACCTGTACCACTGCCTTCCCAGTGCCGCGGGGCCTTCTTTGGGGGCTGGTGCTTCTGGGAAAAGGCCTGGCCGATATCACTGTGTACTCTGGAGGACATGTGTCTGCATGGGGAAGTGAAGGCTCAAGTCGAGCCTGCCCTCAGGGCTCCCATGTCAGGTCTGCTTGGGGTCTTTATTCTCACTGACCCCTCCCTGCAATCTCACAGCACTCAGCAGCGGACACTGTGTTGTATATTCTATTCACCATGGCAGGAATTACGCGACTGTCGGATTACCTGCTCGGCCTGGTCACCTGATGATATCTTTAAAGAGGCTTGGTGTGTTCCCGTCTGGATCATACCTCAAGCTGTGACTGTACCCCGAGCCTGTGACCCATATTCCAAGTTGTGACTATACAGAGTCAGCCTGTATATTGCATTTTCTCATATAGCAGCCTCACTGTGGGGTTGCAGGATTCCCCTGGGCTCCTCAGCTCACCAGGAGCACAGCCAGCAAGGCCACCTCATCTGATCGCCGCAGGGTGCTGGGACCCCGAGACAGCCGCTGTCCCTGTCCTCCAGGAGCTCACGTGTCCTGCTGTGAGCTCCCTGAGGGCAGAGCCTGTGTCTGCCTCCGTGCAACGCACAGCCCCAAGCAGCGAAATCCATCTCATACCCTACTGTGAGGGGACCTACCCTTGTCCCTTCCTGGCTTTGGTCCACCCAGGCTGAGGTTTCTACATTGTGTATGGGTGGTCCCCCTCCCAACACATTGACTTGGCAACATAATGACAACTTCATGAGTTACTGACTCTTGGGTGTTAATTTCTGTGGGAATTTCTCTTGAGCTATCTACATAGTAACAACTTGTTGGTGGGCACATGTTAATTTCAATGGGCTATATCAGACATCAGGGTGCAGAGAAGGATTAGCTTTATTATCAGCTGTTCTTTTTGTGAAATGATGAGGATAATGTGTCTGGTTGACCAAATGCCCAATTACCTTGTCTTTCTCTGGCTGGGAGATTGTTGCTATAGTTTAGTGCTGTTGAGTCAGTTCTGGCTCATAGCAACCCTGTATAGGGTTTCCAAGGAGCAGCTGATGAGTTTGAACTACCAACCTTTTGGTTCTAACCTATCTTGTCCTCCAGTGCTTTATCCTAAAACGCCACACCAGGACTCCCTGGCTAGGAGCAGCAGCCCTTAACAAATCTGACAGTTTATAGTAAGCGTCATATTGTGTCCACCGTGACCCATCCTAGTCATTGAAGACCCCACAGGTCCTGTCATCACAGGCCAACTCTGTCCTGGAGGAGGCCAGGCTAGGGGCACAGGGCCTCTCTACTACAGCGGAGTCCAATGTGATCTCAGGATAACAGGTTCATTTTTAAAGTTGGGGGCAACCCTCTTTCTCTCCACTGTTACTTGCTCCCTTGAATTACCTTCTTGAACTTTAGTGGTTGGAGCCACACCTCTGATTAAAGTTCTGTCTTGAAGCAGACACTGGAACTGTCCCATATATTGGCGGGAGCAGAAGTGGGGGGAGGTTTGCTGCATGTCTCCTGCACCCTGGGTTTCTGTCTAAGATGTAACCAGCGTGATTCCTGGGGAAGGACGCCTAACCACCAGGTCAGCAGTGTCCAGGACCCAAAATCTTCATCCCTCCTCAGGATTCGGGCAGGCAGTGTGGGGCCTGAGTGCTCCTCGTGGTCGCCCCCAGGATCACTTTGGAGTGCATTCCTGAGGGTGGGGTGGAGAGACCAGCTCTTTGGTTTCAGAAGATTCTGGAAGGGGTGCTGTGCTCAGTGGGAGCCCAAGGTTTGTTGGGGTTGGTGTTTACAAACCCAAATCCTGGTTTACAAATCTGAGAAGGCAGGAAGGTACAGGTGGGCCTGATAGAATTGCAGTGACTCCAGACCCTAGAATCCCAGCCTGTGAAGTAAACACTGCTGTTCCAGCTTTTTCCGGGGAAGGCTGGGTGCGTAGACATCTGCCAAATCACAGCGGCCCCTCCCTGACCAGGGTGGCTGTGTTGCTATTGTCCCTCCTGGGTTTTCTGTTTTGTTTTTTGGAGGGGGTAGGGTGGGTGACTGGAGAAAGACCACAGCATGACCGCACAGCCCACCCAAGAGGCACTCTTGAGCTGTGTGTGTAAATGGGGATGGACTGTAGAGCCAGGGCGCTGGGCTCTGGAGGGACTCAAAGGGTGCAGAGCAACTAAAGGTGTCTGTCCACCTCAGCAAGCAGCTTGGGCAGGGCAGGGAGGGAATGAGGGTCTCCTGGGGTCCTGAGACTATACCCCAGCAGAATCATGTGTGTATAGAAAGGATGGGATGGTTCATGTTTTCTAGAGAACAGTGAGTCCTCCCATGGACAGCCCTGCTCTCCGGGTCTGCCTATTGGGAAATGGAGCTCAAGACCTGTTTCAAATACACAGGTTAAGTATGTTATGCCAAGCTCCCGCTTAGGGCTCAGGGACATGTGTCCTATCCTTAACTGATTGGTGACCCCAGCACCAAAGTCTCATCAGCAGGGCGCATGTGTCCATCCTAGGGGCTGGGAGCAGAGGGTGGGGTCCTTCCCAGAGGCCTGATGGGGCTGGCTGTCCCTGACTTGCAGGGTGGGGCAGCACTGTCCCCTGCAGAGCAACGGGTCCTAGAGCGGAAGCTGAAGAAGGAACGGAAGAAGGAGGAGAAGCAGCGACTGCGGGAGGCAGGGGCCCAGCCCACCCCACAGAACTCAGCCAAGGCTGCCCCTGCGCCTGCACCCTCAGGGGCTGCACTGGCCCTAGACTACCTCTGTGGGTAAGGACCCCTCACTTGGCACTCAGAACAGGGCTGTGGGAAAGGCTGATGGGGGGCTAGGCAACAGGTATAGAGAGCAGGTGGGGGAAGGACACCAGGGGTCGCAAAGGGTTGGGCCCCTCTGTCAGTCACTCAGGAGCGGAACTTACACCTGGCTCTGCCCAGCTCAAGTACTGCAGAGGCTGAAGTGATAGATGGCAAGAGTTAGATATGTTTCCTAAGATGCTTTTTCAAGGAAACTGAGGCACACATTCCAGAAGGCTCTCTGGGAAATAGGTTCTTTGCCTACACCTTCCTAGACCAGCGCTGAGGCTGGGTGGAGGGATTGAGCTACATGAGTGTGTCCAGGGGACAGCTCTGGGAACCACCACCGGGCTGGAATCCAGCCACTCTGGAAAGGTGGCCACAAACAAGGCTGTCCGTGTTTTCCAGATGGATTAATGGGCCCAGGTTCCAGGATAGGGAAGGGGCTGTGTGTGACCTCCTCCCCGTTTCCACGTGAATCCACGTGTGCCCTTCCTGGAGCTGGTAGTGACACGATGAGGACACTTACGAGTCAGCCTCGCTGTGGCCTGGCAGACCCCTTATTGCCCATTCTCATTGTGTTTGCTTGGACAGCAGGTAGGTAACTGGTCATAACACCCAGCAAACACGTAAAGTGACAGTGACTGAACCCAGAAACCCAGAAACCCAGAAAGGGTCAAATCAGGACTGGGGGAGCACAGAGCTGTCATCATCCTCAGTTACTCTCCAGAGGGAATGCTGGCAGTATGGTCCCACCCATGATGGCTGAGGGAGACCCACCCCCGGTCTCCCCAGCTCTTCACCCTGAGGTCCCCCTGGTTTTCCAGCTGGGCCCAGAAACACCAGGACTGGAAGTTCCAGAAGACACGGCAGACCTGGCTCTTGGTCCACATGTATGACAACGACAAGGTGTGCAGAGAAGGGGTCTGGCTGCTGTGGGGGTGGATGGGTTTGGGTAGGGTCTCTGGTGGGAGGTTCCAGCCAGGTCTCTGAGGTGGGGTCTTAGGCCAGGTAGCCTCTGACTCCTTGTTACCCTCACCTAGCAGGCAGGCTGAAACCCTGGGCTGAGAGGCCTTGTGAGAGACTCGACACAAAATTTTGTCGTGAGCCCCCTGACTTTATGGAGAGGGAGTTCAGCAAGAGGAAGAGAAGGGGCTGGCTCCTCAGGGTCAGGGGGTCTGTGGGATGCTCTGTGTGGAGGGAGACCCCAAGGAGACAAACATCCTCCCTCGCCTACTTGCCCATGAATCTCAGCCATCAAAGACTCTGGTCAGGCGGTGCTGTCCCATCACTTGCTCTCCCTAGTTGGTGCCACTGTGCACATGTACGTTGGCCAACATTGGAATGGGGTCCATGTGCTCTGGCTCTGAGTCCATGTCTGACCATGCTGGTGCGGTCAAGGGTGCCTCAGGTACACATAACAGGCATCCAGCTGTCTGAGCACCCTGTATTGAATGGACCCAGAACCCTGGTTGGAAACCAGTTGACTACAGAGATCGGGGCCTTTTTCTGGACATGTCCATCCCGTTGGTCTGCCTGTCTGTCCTGATTCCTATAGTTGTAAAGTGAGTTTTGAAATTGGAACGTGTGAGTCATGCAGCTGTTTTATAAGTGAATTTTCAACCCCTTCTTGTCTTTCTCCCCACTTTCAGTTTGGGAGGGGCGTGGACAGAGGGTCTGCAGTGTCTCCTTTTCACACTATGGGGTGAGCTCTGAGCTCCTGCACTGGGCAGTCGGCTGATGTCACCCATGTTTCCACACCCCCAGAGCCTTGTCACTGCACCCAGGGTGTTTACCCTCCAGAATGTACATGTATGTTTTATCAGTTCCTGATGTCTGACTAGGGTCCCAGTGCTTGAGGTCCTCAAGCCACCCCTGATGGTCCCATCTCTGCCCCCTTTCAGGTTCCCGACGAGCTCTTTCCTACTCTGCTGGCCTACCTGGAGGGGCTAAAAGGCCGGGCCCGCGAGCTGACTGTCCAGAAGGCCGAGGCCCGCATGCAGGCACTGGATACAGCCGGAGATGACAGCCCAGAGCCCCACCTGCTAGGCCAGGCCCAGCGTCTCCGCCAGGTACTGCAGTTGCTCTCCTAGTGGGATGCAGTGTGGCCCCCTCCACCCACTGCAGTGGGGCTGCAGGCCAAGGGGCACTGGAGGCCCCAGACAAGCTTGGAGCAGAGCTTCCGGTTCCCATCCTGTCCCCTTCCACAGAGGACACCTCCTCAGACAGCGAAAGCCCCACGGCAAACCTCAGAGACACTCTGAGCACAGCGCCCCCAGGAGAGCGCATGTTGAGGGAAAGGTCTAGTTTTCTATGGGATATTTTTTTCAGAAATGGACCAAAGCCATCCCATGCTGTGCTCAGTGGTGTGGACTGTCACTGGGGTCATTTCCCAGGACTGGGTCTCAGCGTCCACTTTCATAAAACAAAGCTCATCTGGGTCAGCATTTGTGTCCTCATTTCATCTGCTGGGGTGAGAACCCCCTACCCCAAGATGGCGTTGTGTACGTACTTCTCTCGGGAAATGGGGTAATCGGGACAAGCACTAAGGAGCAAACTGGAGCTGCAGGGGTTGGGTGTGGGAAGGGGGTGCAGAGAGTGGGGAGGGGACCTGCTCTGCTCTGCCAGACACACTCCTCCCCCACCTTTCAGACACTGCCCTGTGTGTGTCTCATTCTTCATTTCTAAATACGCAATGTACTGAGCTCTCCTCAGAAACAGTGATATATCACCCTAAAATCTGTACCCCCCAGAAGGAAACGTCACAAACCCCCAACATCAGGGCCTGGACCTTGAATGCAGTGACCCAGTTGTGAAGTCTCCCAGGAAGGGGTTGAGGTTCTGGGACAGTACTGCCCTAGCCGTCCAGTCCCACCTCTAGCTGGGTCCCCCACAGGCTGCGAGCTGTGCCTTCTGTGCCTGGGTGCTGGGGGTTCCTGTGGGTGGGACCCACACCTCTCCTGCTGGGACCTTCAGCCCCTGCTCCTAGCCCTTTCTCAGCTTCTGGCTCTGAGAAGCGATGACAGAACAGAGGTAACGGGTAGTTTAGAGGCCAACATACCGTCAGCCCTGCAGCCCCTCTTCCCCCATACAGCACCAAGGGAAAGGTAGCCAGTGTGTCCCCAACCCTACCCCAGGCTTCTTGAAGAGAAAATGCAGGACACCCATTGGATGTGAAACTCAGTGATAGATTCCTATTACCGGGACTCATTGTGTGAGACTTCCTTCCCAGAGGCCCAGCCTGGGGGAAGTCACTGGGTCACCCACCACACCCAGAAGGGTTTGTTTTGTTTTGTTTTTTAGCATCGGTGGACCCACAGTGCTAGAGACTTCCAGTCCAGCCCCTGCATGGTATCCCTTCTGGAGGGAGGGGACACCCGAGTACCTCACGGCTCCCACATTGAGCTGAGGGCGGCCCCTGGTGGTGTGGCCAGCGCAGGTGCAGAACCTCACAAAGTGCAAGGGGGAGGGACTGGTGTGGGAAGAGAGCCCAAGACTGGTGGGCAATGGACGACCAAGACTTAGATCAAAAATTGATGGGGGAGGGTGAAAGCCCCCTGTGAACGGGGTGTTAGACCTGCTCACCCCCACTCAGCGCTTTCTTGGCACTGCGCACAGGGCTTGTGCCCGTGGCCTCATGGTGAAGGCAGGGGCAGGCGTGGAGTCCAGCGTGTCAGCATGGACACCGGGCGGGGGCTGCAGATGGAACCGCTGAAGGAGGCTGGCAAACAGTAGGAACAACTCGATCCGGGCCAGGCTCTCCCCTACGCACACACGGCGGCCTGTGGGAAAGCCAGACACGTGGGTGAGGACGCAACCCCTTGAGGCTAGCTTGAGAGGGGCCTGGAGGGGTGTATGGAAGGCGTGAGCTCTCCACCAAGTCGGGTGGTGGTCTGGGGTCTTCCTCAGTCTTCACAATGCAAGCCCGGAGGGACAGGGACATAGGTTTCCACCTGAGAGGGGTGGGCAACACTAGGAGGGATGGGGGAGCACCCCCCCCTCCAGCCAAGGTACCTGCAGAGAAAGGCAGAAAAGCTGGCCGCTTCACAAATTGCCCTTTAGTGTCCAGGAAGTGGCCGGGGTTGAAGTGGTCTGGGGTCTCCCACTTTGTCTTGTCCAACAGCACAGAGGTCAGCAGAGGGATCACAGGCGTGCCCTGTGGGGGCAGAGACTGTGTCCGACCTGGCCACCAAGACCACATCCACCCATGCTGGCCCTAAATGGGACACTGAGTGGAGGGCAGGGAGGCAGGTGGACAAGCTGTGGGCTGGAGGACTCCCTAGAAGGAAAGAGGGGCACCTCCTTTATAGGAGATGCTGGAGACCCCTTACAATTTTCTGACAGCTGCTCCAGCCCCATCCTACAGGTGACCCCCAGGCCCTAGACGGAGGGCTCCCTAGATCCCAGAGAGAACCCTCTAGACCACACCCATGCCTGAAGCCCAGCTTTGTGGGGACTATGAGACCAAGGATGCCCCTGAACCCCCTTCTTGCTTTCAGTTGGGGATGCCTGAGTCCGTGTTCAACCACCTGGGGCTTCCCACCTCGGGGAACAGGGGCAGCTCCCACTGGTCCCACCTGGGGTAGCAGGTAAGTGCCCAGGTGGATGGGGGCGGCTGCTTGGCGCGGCACGTGCGGCAGGAGAGTAATGTAGCGCTGCACTTCGTGGAGCACGGCGTTGGTGTAGGGAAGCGCAGCCTGGTCAGCGGGCCCGGGCTGCCGGAGCCCCAGCACACGATCCAGCTCCGCCTGTGCGCGGCCTGGGGGTGAAGGCAGGTGTCTGGGGAGCCCCGCCCCCACTGCCAGAACCCTCCTCGGGGCTTCGCGGGGCCTTGCGGGCTCACCTTGTACACTCGGGTACCGGCCCATCAGAAGTGCGGCCCACTGCAGAGTGGCTGAGGTGGTCTCCGTACCGGCCATGACCATATCCAAGATACAGGCCACCATGTCGGCCTCGGAAAACGGACCCGGAGTTTCTTCTCTCTGCTGAAGTGGGAATGGGCAAGGCTAACCTGGAGGACTTGGGTGTACAACCGTGCACCGCACAACCCAACACAACACTGGGCTCGTGCAGGGGGGTGGCAGGCAGAGAGGACCCCATTCTTCCAGGAGCCTTGTAAAGCAGCAGAGGTGAGGCTGAGGCTCCAAGAGACCTTTTGCTGAAGGAGGCGGGGCTTAGTGTGGGACGACCCTAGACCCCTCCCTCTCCTTCCTGGGGAGGCCTTTGGGCGCCTCACCCACCTCTTAGGTAAACCGTGATCGGGTGGGGCTGGGATGAGGGAGGCCCCGTTCTACACCCGCACCTGGTCCTGCAGGATCAGAGCGTCCACATAGCCCTGCACGGTGCCCCCAGCGAGCACGTGCCGCCGCCTTGCCTCCAGGAGCGTCACCAGGATCGCGCGCACTTTCTCTATCTTGCGCAAGACTGGCTGGTGTAGCTGGAGCAGGGCTCCGAGCCTGGGGAATATGTTGAACATCTAGGGACAGAGGGGGCCGGGTGGGTGAGTGTCAGCCCCATTTTAGGGCAGACTTCGTCGAGTTCAGTGTCCGCGCCAGCTGCGGCCACAAGGGGGCGCCCAGCGCGGCTAGACACCAGGCAGCACCTGCCCCCAGCATCCGTGTTGGAAAGAGCACCCCCTTAGAACAGTGACAGCCCTTCATGTGCTTAGTTGGGAGGAGCAGTTGGACAGGTCACACCAGAGTTGTTATGCGCCATTGTGTTTACTCCGACCCATAGCGACCCTGTATAGGGTTTCCGAGGAGCACCTGGTGAGCTTGAACCGCCAACCTTGCAGTTCAAGTGGCTTTGCAGTCTGGCACATTAACCCACAGTGCCACACCAGGACTCCAGAGTTAGGTATGTGCAAATCACAGCAATTACCCCTCTTTCCATACATAAAGGAGTCCTAGGATAAAGCACTGGTCTGGCAAGGTCAGTGGTTCAAATTCACCAATTGCTCCTTTGGAAACCCTATGGTGGTGGAGTCAGTTCCGACTCACAACGACCCTGTACAGGGTTTCCGAGGCTGTAAATCTTTACGGGAGCAGAAAGCTTCATCTTTGTCCTGCGGAACAGCTGGTAGTTTCAAACGGCTGAACTTGAGGTTCGCAGCCCAATTTCACGCTACCAGAGCTCCTTATGGAAATCTATATAGGGTCGATATGATTCTAAACGGACTTGACATTGCTTAACAATAACAAGGGAATAAAATATGGGGGGATGCGGGTTTTGAGAAAATAACTTAGGATCAGTCAGCAAAAAAAATGAAAATTTACAAACTTCAGAACCTCAGCCACCTGGCCTCAAATATAGTCTCTTTCACCAGGGGATAAGGTCACTTAATGACAGAAACAGGATCTACTCTCATCTGTGAGCCCAAAATCCAGGACTCTGTTCCAAGGCAGTGGCTGCCTCCTGCTGAGCTGGGGGACAGGGGTGAGGTGCCCCCAGACTTGCCTTCGGCCTGGCCTCTCACCTGCAGGCTGGGGGAGCCCAGGAGGACCATGACCTCATCAATGAGCCCCAGCAGCGAGACAAACAGGGGGTCTCGGTAGTCAAACCGCTGACCAAAGAGGAGCGCAAAGGTGATGTTGGAGGGAGCCCAGCCGAGCATCGGCAGTGGGAAGGGCTGACCTGGAGAAGAGAGAGGCATCAGGCAGGGCAGGGGGCCCGGAAGGAGGGTATGCCCAGTCCATTGGGGGACCTGAGAGGAAGTCCAGTCTGCTCACCCCTGTAGTTGTCCAACTCTGCCACAAGCCACTCCAGTTCTGCCAGGACCTTGTGGGCAGTAGGTGCCCGCCCCACACCCAGACCATGCAGGGTGCGGATGGTGAACTGACGTGCCACCCTCCAGCGGGCTCCAGATGAGAAGAAGATGCCTGTGCCGAATACGGAATACTGAGTGGTGAACCTCTGTACACACAGAGCGCTGGCCAGAACCCTGCCTTCCTGAGGGCTGGTCCTGACCCCCATGGCTCGTGGATGCAAAGACTCCCTTTGTCTCTCCTGGGAGTCACTCTCTCCCCAGCACCAATCCAGGGAGCTCAGGCCCCTCTCCAGCTCCTGACCAGTACCCTCTGGAGCTCCAGGACCCAGGCTGGTGATCCCAGTCCTGAACTCAAAGTGGTCCCACCTACCCCTTCCTCCCTGGATGAACTGGAAGATGGGGATGGGCGGCCGGTCAGCCAACTCCTGCCCAGTGCCCACCAGCGCCGCCCTCACTGCCTCGAAGCCCGTCAGCACCACTGTCTTCTGGACACCCAGGTGCACCGTGAACACCGGCCCATAGCACTCTGCAAGCTGAGGGTAAGGTGGGGGTCAGCCAACAGGTCCCCTCTGGGCCACATTTGATGGTGGACTTCAAACTGGCAGGGAGTGGACACCAGCAGGGCCTGGGGCTGGGTAAGTGTAAGTCGTGAAGCTAGAGGATTGGGTGGTGGGAACAGGGTCTGGGACAGCTTGCCCTCAGCATAGACAAGGACTGTCTAGCCCCACGCCTACACTGCAGCTGGGTGAAGTCAGGCTGCCCACACTCACCTGTGAATGAGACTGTGCTGACCCCAGGCATGGACCACCCTCCTGCAGGCTCATAACTATCCTACTCCTGCCTCCCTCACCCCATCCCCACCCCCATTGCTGATCTTCCCTGGAGGCCTCCAGACTCCATGTGTCTGTTGCCTGAGGTGGGAAGTACATGGAGGGATGGATTCTTTTTCCAAAGGTCAGTTGACGCAGCCTGCTGTGTCCACAGAGCTCAGTGCCACACTGAGTGGAAAGGAGGACATGGTGGCCTGGCTTCCCTGTGCTGGTTGGCAGCTGCAGTCCTGGGAGGCTGGGGCCCTCCTACCTCCATCAGCGATCTGTCCAGTTGCCGCATGTCCAGCAAGTGCAGGTTCCCCAGGAAAGGCAGAGGCCGCGGCCCAGGGGGCCAGCTCTGGGCCTGGGCAGGGGTGGAGGCCGGGGCTCGGCACAACCCCCAGAGCCCCAGAAACCCCAGGAGCAGTCCCAGGAGCAGCAAGGCTGCCTCAGCGTGCAGGGCCATGGGGACGGGGGCCTCACAGGCCAGGCCGCTCCCAGACTTATAGGCCTCACAGAGGGAGGGAGCAAGGGTGGGTGCGCCGCTCCCCACCCTGCCACCGCCCCAAGAATGCAGCGTGAGCAGTTTGCAGGTGGCAGCCCCAGCTCACAGCCAGCAACAGGCACGGAATGTAGGGGCGCGTCTAGACTGGGGGCTGAGGCCCCTTTGCAGTCTGTGCTTGGGGGGCCCCTCTGTCCCTGCTCCTGACTAGAGAACCAGGGACAAGAACACGGAATAGCGACGAACCCCTTCCTGATGCCCATCAGAACCAGACTCAGGGCAGAATTACCAAAACATATTAGTTCATCTAACTGACATATTTTTCTTATAAAGTTACTTTTGCCATCCTCCATCTAGAGGAGGGGTCCATGTTCACAACCCTTGGATTTGGTGGGCACTTATGATGTGGAAGTAGATCACAAGAACCATGCAGCTTCCACTGGCACTCCTGGGACACTGGCTCTTGGAACCCAGCGCCGTGTTGTGAGGCAGCTCAAGCAGCTCCCAAAGCCCTGGCTGAGCTCCCAATCAATGGCCAGCTTGCTAGCCATAGGGTGCGCCATCTTGGAGTGGATTCCCCAGCCACCAGCGGACTCCAAGTGGATCTGTCTCCAAGGTCTGCCCCAACTGCAAATTCATAAACAAAGCAAATTATTGCTTTTTTAAAAAACTTTAGATTTTGTTGTTCTGGTTGGAGTATATACACAGCAAAAACACACCAATTCAACATTGTCTTTGTAAGGAGCTCAGTGCCAATGATGACATTCAAGTTGTACAAACATCTCACCCTCCTTCTCTGGGTTGTTCCTCCCCCATTAACAGAAACACTGCCCCCTAAGGTTCCTAGCTGAACTTTGGAGATGGCCACTGTCAATTTTATCCCCTATACGTAGTTCTTAAAAGCAGACTGCTCAAGGCACACCTTTTTTTTACTTGTTAAACTAATGTTTGATTTTTTTTAAAGAATTAAGGGGGATATTTTTATTTAAGGTTTAAAGATGAGTTCAGGACAATTGTTTCAGGAGTTTCAGAAAGTCTGGATTCCATGAGAAATCTGAATTCTGCTCTACATTTTTTATCAGGATCTTCTGCAGAAATTGATAGCTATTTTAGGCCACTGAGTTCGGGGTACTTTACAGTGCAACAACAGATAATTCGTATGCTGGTTATGCCACCATAAGCAAGAGACTGAACCCCTTTGAACCTTAGCTTCCATATGTGTGACATGAAGGTTATAGTAACAAGCACACTAGGCTCTCATTCATTCAAAATGTCAACCGAGCACCTTCTATGTGTCAGACACTAGTCTCCATCTTGGGCAGCCCACGTGGAAATGTCTAACACATAAGCAGGCTGGACAGTGGTTTGTGTTTCCACCGCTTTTCCTATCTTAGAATCACACATAAAAAGTCCTTCACCTTCTCTCCCAACAGAGTATGTGGTATAAAGCACCACCTCTTGCCAGGTACAGGCATGCCAATTAAAAGCTGGCTGTCATCCGCAAAGCATCTGCCTCTAGCATTTCTTTATCCTTCGGGGGAGCAGGACAGTGAGGCTGAGGGCAATCTCCAGGGGCAGGTATCCCATTTACTACTAAGTGGTGTCATCTGGTTAAGTGGAAATGATAAATGCTCCATTGTCCACAGCCCTGGAAACACATTAATGAATAACCCAGTACAGCCCCTTGGTGCAGGGGTATCAGATCATAGGATATGAGCATGCTTTAATTTTCTTTTGTAGTTTCAAGTGGGTCCAGGTAGGATTCCCAGAACCCTTGGACAGTCCACACACATTCAACACCAGCTCTGGGCTGGCCCTGGGTACCAAGAGGTGAATCTGACCATGGAGCCCAGAAATCAGACACCATGTGCTGCTGGAGGGGAGGTGAAATCTGAGATGGCTTCCTGGAAGAGGGAACATTCCAGTGAACTAGACTCTGACAGGGCCAAGCTTCTTAACTCTAAATTCTGGAATTAGGTCCTGCTGGTGCAAAAAGTTGGAGGTTCAAGTCTACCTCAGATGAAAGAGCTGGTGATCTGCTTCCAAAAAAATCAGCCACTGGAGCACAGTTCTCTGACACACATGGGTCACCTTGAGCCAGGGTTGGCTTGACGGCAACTGGTTTGGCCTCCACATGTGATAGTTTTCTTGGAGCGACCAGCTGGCTCCCTCTTCAGCATCCATCTCCTTGTCTGGGGTCACAGTACCTCCATTCTCCTTTGGGAGGATAGACTAGAGTTTGGTTGCGTATTGAGTTGGGTGCTCTGAGATAGCTCCACCTTCCTGGGAGATTCTGTCCTCTCCAGAGCTTCATCCACTGCTCTGGGCTGGGTAGCTGATTTCCCTAGGACTCTCTGAGCACTAGGACCATCTGTCCCAGGCTGGCCACCCTGACTCTCAGTCTCATCTGTAAAATGGAACCAATACTCTCTCTGGCCAGAATGTATGAACTGAGATCATGTTTGGTTGATGATGTCTGATTGCCAGGTCCCTGTGTCCACCACTGCTTACAGAGTTGCTGGGTCATCTCCTGTCCCTGGGACCCAGGAACTCCCAGGCCAACTTCACAAACACAGCATCGGCGTGACTGGACCTGACCTCATCATCTCTTCTCATTCCCATCTCTGTCTTTTTTATCTATTTTCTGAGAAAATTCCTTTATTTTCCAATTATTTTCTTTTTTCTGTTATAGGTTAATTTCCAAGAGCCCTTTCTGGTCCCCTAAATGTTCCTTCTTAGAACTTTCTGTTCTTGTTTTTCCCTCACTGCCCAAACCCGTTCCTGCTCAGTCTATCCGATTCATAGAGACTATACAACAGAGCAGAGCTGCCCTAGAGGGTTTCTAAGAGTGTCATCTTTACAGAAGTAGATCGCCACATCTTTCCTCCTCAGAGCTGCTGGTAGATTTGAACTGTCAACCTTTTGGTTAGCAATCAAGTGCTCTAAGTACCGTCCCACTGGGTCTCCTTACTAATTAAGAACTTAACACTCTTCTTCTATTTTCCGCACTGCCTGTTTCCCCTGAGTCTCTCTTCTCCTTGTGGTTTTGCTCTGTCTTTTGCGATGGAGGCCTGATTTAGTAATCCATGACCACCCCATACTATAGGGATTTTAAATCACAAAACCAAACCCAACAAACGCATTGACACTGAGTTGATTCCTACTCATGTTGGATCTACGTGTGTCAGATGTCCTTTCCCATGGGGCTTTCATCTTGTATGGAAGCAGACCACCAGGCCTTTCTTCCGTGGCACTGAGGCATAAATCTGAACCTCGACCAACTTTTAAGGTCAGTAGCCAAGAGCAAACCATTTGCACCATCCAGGACCCTTTAAGAACCACAGCAATCTCTTCATGAATTTCTCTCGCTGTTCTGTGGGTTGGCTGTACTCAGCCAGTACTTCTCTTTCAGGCTTTCTTGGGTGTTTGTTTTCAGACATGTTTCTCAACATCGCAACCTCTTCCTTACTCACTTGGTGGCATGTGATGGCTGGAAACCCATTGCGCTACCTGAATGCAGGACCGCGCCCAGGGCGATGCAAAACCAATCTAGCCACAATAAGGGAAGAGATAGAAAAGAGTTTCATCATGTATGCATAAACAGGAAAACAAAGTTTCAGCACACTGATGAAGAAAAAAGATTATAACTTTTTTCTTTGAAGACTACAGCTTTTGTAGTATGGATTGCATCTTAATGTAAAGAAAACAAAAATCCCTCACCAATGTATTGCGCCAATGAATACATCATGGTAAACACAGAAAAGATTGATGTTGTTAGACTTAATTTTGTTTGGATCCATAATGAACACTCATGGAAGCAGCAGTCAAGAAATCAAATGATATATTGCATTAGGCAAATCTGCAAAAACCAGACCTCTTTCAAATGTTAAAGAACAAAGATGTCAGTTTGAGGGTTAAGGTGCACCTGACCCAAGTCATGGTATTTTCAGTAGCCTCATATGCATGTGAAAGTTGGACAATGAATAAGAAATAGCATAGAAGGAACAATGCATTTGAGTTATTGTGTTGGAGATGAATATTGAAAGTACCATGGACTGCCACAGAACAAAAAAATCTATGTTGGAAGACGTGCAGAATATTCCTTAGAAGCCAAGATGGCCAACTTTGACACTCATTCTTGAGACATATTGTCAGCAGGGACCAGTCTCTAGAGAAGGACATCATGCCTGGTAGAGTGGAGGGTCAGTGATAAAGAGGAAGACCTCCAATGAGATAGATTGGCACAGTGGCTACAGCAATGGGCTCAAATTTAACAACTGTGAGGATGGTGAAGGACCGGGCACTGTTTAGTTCTGTTGTGTGCAGGGTCGCTATGAGTCAGAACCAACTCAAAGGCACCTAACAACAACAAACACAGACTTAACATGTTTTGTAAAAGCCAATCATCCCCCCCCCCCAAAAAAAGGCCAATCATCCATTTACACATTCCATTTCCAAGATGGACATATTGATCTATGAAAGGAACAAAGAAAACTTGTTGAATTAGCTCTAAATTTTCTCTAACAAACGTTCCTACTGCAACTGTAAATTTTATCTTGTCCCACAGTCTGAAATCTGAAGGCACTCTGCCTGCAGAAAACTGCAGCCACAGTCAGAGCCGAGGCCCAACTTGAGCCTTGGCTTTCGGAACTGCCAAAGTCAGGCACGTGTAATCGGAAGTGGATTAAGGCCACTCCCCTAACCAGTCCCAGGAGGGGCTGGAGAGTCCCTCGTGGGGACTTGACTAGCATGTGTCCTTGAATGGAAATTGAGGTACTAGGTTTGTATGGTTATGAGTCATATACACCAAGGACTATAGTGCCGACCCTGTAAACTTTTCTAATCTGCAATAATCCCCACTTGGGTAGTCTGCCCTGGAACTGTGATGGATGGCTCTGTCACCAGTCGTGGTCTAGGGACAAAATTCTTTTGTTCTATGTGCTTTATAAATTCTTTGAACATCT